TTTTATTTCATTAAGGTCAAAGTTTGAAATTAGTTGTCTATAAAAAATCAAAACTTGACAAATATTTAAATATAGTAGGTAGTCTTCAAGATTAAATAAACCTAATACGTATTCTAGAACTTAGTGTCAATGAACAATGATTATTGTAATGAAATTACATGGGTGTAAATATTCTTCTCGTTTTGGAGATTTTTTTTCTTTTCATTTTTCTTGTGGTTATTGCTCCCTTTGGATTGTGACCGACTGACGCCGGACGGTGGTGTTTAAAAACTTCCTTAGTGTTTAGAACCAGATTTCAGTTTTTGAGATAAAATTATTTTATTTATAAATTGGGAAAAAAATAAAGAGTGAAATTCTTTGTTCAAAAGTATTTCAAAAAATCGTAAGAAATCCTTGTCAAAACTGGAGTGTTGGAATACGGAGGAAAAATAAAGAAGGAGCAAGCTTACTGGGTCACAACCGAGCCAATGGACCGTTGGGGTCACATGGTCGACCGTGCTTTATACGCTAGTAAAAGGAGCTATAGACGGTCGAGCCACGTGGACCATTCCTTTATAACGATCAACCGTCAAGAAGGCAGTCTGATGTTAGACGGAACGATGGTCCACCACTTGAATAACGGTCGACCGTTTGTGGGCCAGAAATGGTAAAACTGAAATTTCATTCACGGAAATGGGCCTACTTATATTTAAAAATAATACTCCGTATTTAACTTTCCAAGATTCTCCACAATGCTGAATTCTTACATAAAACAATTTTTAAATTAATATAATTTCATAATAAAATTTTTACAGGTCAACTTGAAAACATGTTTTTAAAGTTTTTATTTAATTTATGAATTACACAAATTGGCGTAACTAAATAAATTGAAAAAAGTTTCCATTTTAACATTTCCGAATAATTTAAAATAATAAAAAGAATACCAATAATAAAAAAATATTCTGAAAGTGAAATATTATTAAAACTCAACTGCCAATTACAATGAAAAAACATTACAATGAATAATAATAATAATAATAATAATAATAATAATAATAATAATAATAATAATAATAATTTTATATGAATAAGAATAACCCACGTCCAAAAACTATGCCTCCGCAACTTCCCACTTCCCACCAGAGGCGGATGTAGTGTTTTGGCAATGGGGGCACATGCCCCCAGTCAACTTTGAATTTTTTTAAATTATTACCCCTAATTTTTTTAAAAATCTAATATTGCCCTCAATAAAATATATACTTGCCCCACTAGAAAACTAGAAACCTTATACGTCAGTCCAGAAGCTTCTTCTCCTCTTCGGCATAAATTACAAAATCTCGCCGGCCGCCGATTCACCGGCTCACCAGCTTCCCGATTCACCGCCGGCCGCAGAATCGCAATCCACATTCCACGGACCACAAATTGAGAGTTAACTAGTTGAGTAAGAGGCTTTCCTTCTCTTTTTGAAAGTTTGATTAGTACTTTTAGATCCAAGTTTTCAATTTGTCAAATTTTAAAAATCAATTGTGTTAAAAAGTAAAAACTACTGAGTAGTGTGTACTCCATGGTTTTTTGCAACTTTTTAATGTAGTTTTAATATGATTTCTATTTTTATCATTAATAATAGTATAATACTTGTATTTTTTTGCACATTATTTTTTTTGGAAAAAATTGGAGGTGCTACTCCAAACCCCGTAGAAGTCTCGCCCCCCGTCTCTTCAATTCCTGGATCCGCCACTGCTTCCCACGTTGGTTCACCCAGAGGCGGATGTAGTGTTTTGGCAATTGGGGCACATGCCCCCTAATTTTTTTAAAAATCTAATATTGCCCTCAATAAAATATATACTTGCCCCACTAGAAAACTAGAAACCTTATACGTCAGTCCAGAAGCTTCTTCTCCTCTTCCGCATAAATTACAAAATCTCGCCGGCCGCCGATTCACCGGCTCACCAGCTTCCCGATTCACCGCCGGCCGCAGAATCGCAATCCACATTCCACGGACCACAAATTGAGAGTTAACTAGTTGAGTAAGAGGCTTTCCTTCTCTTTTTGAAAGTTTGATTAGTACTTTTAGATCCAAGTTTTCAATTTGTCAAATTTTAAGAATCAATTGTGTTAAAAAGTAAAAACTACTGAGTAGTGTGTACTCCATGGTTTTTTGCAACTTTTTAATGTAGTTTTAATATGATTTCTATTTTTATCATTAATAATAGTATAATACTTGTATTTTTTTGCACATTATTTTTTTTGGAAAAAATTGGAGGTGCTACCCCAAACCCCGTAGAAGTCTCGCCCCCCGTCTCTTCAATTCCTGGATCCGCCACTGCCGTTCACCTGTGAAATGGAGCAGTTTTTTTAAATGAGCAATATTCCACTACAACGCACTATCCCCTTGATAACTTCCCACTCATTTCTAGGTTATAAATAGATCACAACATCCAAACCACACTCTAGTTTTCGTTTGGGAGAAAGACCAAAGTAGGACTAAAATATAGAAAATATACCAAAATAGGACTCCCATGTTTTTATTCTCGAAATAGGACTTACATTACCATACATGGTCATATACATTACCAAACAAGTATAGTAATTTGCACATGTACACTGCCACATTACAACAGGGCAAAGTCACATTACCACAGTGCAAAGTCCTATTTCGGGGAAAAAACATGGAAGTCCTATTTTGGTACTTTTCTCTATGCTTTAGTCCTATTTAGGGTGATTTCTATTTTCGTTTCATCCACTTACTGTGAGGAGAATTTAGTGTGGAGAGAATGAGAAGTATTTGCAGGAACAAGGTACGAATTCATTTACATATGTAAATATAGGTTTTTTTCTGCGGAAAAATTGCCTAAAATAATCCCAACTTTACCCGGTCTTTCAAAAATAATCTCATCTTTCATTGTGATGCATAATAATCCCAACTTTATTGAAATTTACCAATTTTGGGTCGCCGTTAAGTTTCTAACGGAGGGTTAACGGAAATGCTCGTTTTAGACAACAAAATGAAAGTTGGGATTATTTTTGATGAATTTTTTTTTAATTTTTTTTGATATTTTTATTTAAATTTTTTGAATTACTTTCAACCTCCATTTCTTTTTCTTTTTCTTTTTTAAAGATTATTCTTACCTTAGAAAAAAATAGATATAAAAATAATGAAAATGACAAAAATAACTAAAACAGTACAAATTAATCAAATAAATAATATAATCAATAGAAATTAAACAGAAACTGGTAAGAAATAAAATAAATATATACGGAGTGGTGGGTTTTAACATTTTACACACTATACGAAGTCTTAATATACTACTTATTTTTTAAAAGAACAAGGCGTCCGGTAAAATTGGAATTATTGTAGATAATTTTTTCTAAAAAATAAGTAGTGATATGTTAATACTTTGTATAATACGTAAAATATTAAAACCCACCTGTATATTTTTATTTTACTCTTACCAATTTCAAGTTAGTTTCCATTGATTACCTTATTTATTTTATTATTTTTGTATCATTTTAGTTACATTTCTCATTTTTTTCATTTTTTATATCTATTATTTTTATTTTTTAAACTAAGACTAATCTTTAAAAAAGGAAAAAGAAATGATGATGGAGGTAGAAATTAATTTAAAAAATTTAAATAAAAAATTTAAAAAAATGAAAAAAAACGAAAATTCATCAAAAATAATCTCAACTTTCATTTTGTTGCCCAAAACGGGCATTTCCGTTAACCCTCCGTTAGAAACTTAACGGTGACCCAAAATTGGCAAATTTCAGTAAAGTTGGGATTATTATGCATCACAGTGAAAGGTGGGATTATTTTTGAAAGACCATGTAAAGTTGAGATTATTTTGGATAATTTTTCCTTTTTCTGCAGTCCAATTTCCCTTTGATAGTTTTTTCATGCAGAAACAATAAATTTCTTCACAGAAAAAAACCAATAAAGGGAAACTAGACTAGAGAAACAATATGTAGTATGTATATATAGTATTTGCAGAAACAAAGGATTTATATGTAAATATAGGTTTTTTCCGTTCAATTTTTCAGTGTCTAAAATTCCTTCATAGAAAAAAACCTATATTTACATATTAGCATTTACAAAACTGTTTCATTTAACAGGGAACACAAATTCATGAGTCGACAATCCAGAACTGGAATAGTTTGAAGAAAAAAATCAAGATGGAGTTTAGGAAGATGGAGTTTGAGCCCTCCAGAATTTCTACGTAGTTCCCTACTTCCCTACCTCCAAGACGACATGACACCCAACGGAACTGCATTAATTTTTTATTTCTTGGCGTGCCTAAACAACCTCTCAATGTGATTGACACTTTGACAGTTTGCTACGATATATTATCCCAAATGTAAGCAATATCATGTTGACTATTGATCTTATTATATGTTCTACGGAGTATATTATATTGAAATGGTATTGATGTTTAAATACTTTGAATGAATTGATGTTTAAATACTTCAAATGATTTAATCTACTCATTCAAGTAAAAAATCTTTTATTCCCTCCGTCCCTAAATAAAGTTCTCTTTCGTTTTTTCCCTTAAAAATCCATTTTTACCCCTTACTTTTTCATACCCTACTTATCAAATCATACTTTTTTACTAATAATTTACATATCACATCTTACTTTTACACATCACATCAAGGGTATTTTTGGAAAGCCAACACAAAAACATCTCTCCCTTAAATCCTCAAAAAGTCAAAAATGGAACTTTATTTAGGGACGGAAGGAGTATTCTTTAAAATGTGCGAATACAAAAACTTTACGCAATGGGTAATGAAAAAAAACTTTTTGGTTTGAAATGTGGCAAACTGACAAAAAGTGGGCAATAATGGGCAAACTGACAAAAAGTAGAAGATTGAAACTCAAGAGAAATTTAGACAGTGAGACCAGCAAAGGTATGAAAACATTTATACTGGTACGGAGTACTACTTTACGATCTATGAAATCCCTATAATCCATTGTTGAAATTATTTTTTGTTGTAAAAACACTCATGAACATAATATTATCATTGCAATAATTACTTTTAAAAAACATTGGTAAATTGTATGGTACGAAGGAGAGAAGTGTTCACATATTTTTATATAGGGCACTTAAAATAAAAAATTACTCATAAATTGTAATTGGGAGAACCAACCTTGAATTATTGTTGAGGTAGCAAAGACATTATTATTGTTCGTCATCAACAATCACCAAGTGTCATTGAATCAATATGACATGCGAATTTGTTGACGAATGCAGCAAAAAAATTGATGGAATTCTTTTATTTTCGTATTTTTTTCCCATCATGACTTCATTTGAATGACTATTAACCAAAGTCAAAGATAATCCCTATCGCATGTTGGTGTACTACTTAAAAAAATGTTCTTTACTCATGATCAACTTTATGTGGCTATTTCACATGTCACAAACCCATAAGGATTGAAGATTTTGAGTTGAGACGAAGAAAATAATCATTTGGATCATACGACGAATGCTGTGTATAAAGAAGTTTTCCATAATTTATGATTATATATGTATTTAACTAATATTGTTCAGTATTTTATATTTATTGGTACATATGCTACATTATAACAAATTTTAGTATACATTGGATAGTTAACGAATTGTCGTATTTGTAATACAACATTGTTTTTACGGGTCATATCGTTTGTTTACAAAATAAAATTTTCACCGTGCACCGCACGGGTTAGAATCTACTCCCTCCGTCCTATAATGATCTTCCCGGTTCGCAAAACGAAGAAAAATCCCAAGTTTTTTCAATCTATTTTATTTAAATATTGGTATAGAAATAAAAAATAAAACATACATATTTAAAAACTACACCAAAAGTTCAACAAAACAAGTGGTGACAAGAATATTTTATTTTATCATATAGGCCATGAAAAAACACAAATAAATATAAATTGCCGTGAAGTTGGAATAGTGCTCTGGGAAGATCATTATAGGACGGAGGGAGTAG